GCAATACTGAACTTTTGACAGACTAAAGTTGCATACTGCTCTGTTTCTTGTTCCTATTTACTCGTATTATTTTGATTTAATTGGCCTTGCAGATTACATATTTCCTTTCTCTATTATTGTTCTTCATGCAGGGAGTTTCCTCTGGAAACATGACTACCATTGTGACAGAGTATGTGAGAGCTTAATTTCCAAGTACCCATTTTGGAACAGAACTCAAGGAGCTGATCACTTTTTTGTCACTTGCCATGACTGGCGTCAAGGCCACTGAAGGACTTCCCCAACTCATTAAGAATTCAATTCGAGTTGTGTGTTCATCAATATGATTCTGGGTATATTCCACACAAGGATGTTTCCTCCCTCAAATCTGCAGCCATTTGCTCTTCAGGATTCTAACATTGCTTAAGGATAGGTAATTTCATGCAAAATAAAGTTAAATCCTTGCTTACTGGCGATTACATGCTTGGTAAATTGAATGACAAACTTTGATTATTGGCAATTTGTTGAACCAGTATGGTCTGATATGGCAACCAATTGTTTTATTTCAAACTATATTTGGTCTTAGCATTCTTTAATTAGTAGTGTAGATGGATCTGTATATTGAAGAAATTACACATATTGCAGGAGTATCCTTGCCTTTTGGGCGTTATCGCAATTCAAAAGTGAGAAAACAACTAGTACACAATGGCAGAATGACAAAGAACTTGACATCCAGAACAATCACATTGATAAAAAGATGCCATATGGTGTACCGAACCAAGTTCTATAGGAGTAAATTTTGCATCTGTCCACGTGGTTCCCAAGTCTAGCGTTCGCATTGCTGATTCGATCCATTATGATGTGTTCCTGGTATGAAATTCATACTCTTGCACAAGAACAGTTTTGCAGCACACTTCATTGTTTCTAATTTCTTGAAAGCAACATCTGAAAAAATAATGCTGTTTAGCACCATAGCAGTCAGGAGATTGTCATTATAGTGATTAATATATTATCTCACTAATGGATACAATTATCAGCTTGTATGTTAGTGAATATCAACAATCTGGAACAAAACTGTGTACATTGTTCTTTGTCTTATGTGAATCTGATAGAAAAAAAAAAAATTGTGCCACTGCTGGTTGTTTTTATTATTAGTATTAAAATTCATAACTGCAATTCAGCTTTTGAGTCTTGAAAACGTCCAAGATGACTTGCTTACATTATTAATTTATGATTGACCCATAGGTTCCAGGTTATGAGCATGGTAACTTCATGGGTCCAACCATATTGTCTGATGTTAGAGTTAACATGGGGTGTTACAAGGTATTCCATATCATGTTTTGAAAATGAACCTTGGCTAAGATATGATTTATAATGTAAGAAGAGGGTTCAGTTCTGGACTTTTCATTTCATATTTTTCATTGGTTGTGCAGGAGGAAATTTTTGGTCCAATTCTTCTTTGTATGCAGGTTTGTCACTTATGTCTTCTTTAAGTGTCCATGTTGGTCTTTGGTTACTAGGAAAATCTTAAGTCAGATATTATTGTTTGTCAGGCTGACAGCATTGATGATGCCATAGAGATTGTTAATGGAAATCGGTAATGCCAGATTTTGAATTCTCTTGACCTTATAAACCCAGAAACTTTAGATCATCTTAATTTATTTAATCTATGTTAGTCTCTTGCAGATTTGGCAATGGAGCTTCTATATTTACTGCATCTGGTGTTGCCGCTAGGAAATTTCAGATGGAGATTGAGGTTGGGCAGGTAAGAAAAACCTTTGCAGTTATTCTTCGTTGGCATTTGCCAACAAATGTAGTAGGAAAATTTGAAATGCTAAACCCGTTTGGGTTTGTGTGGTTCTCATGTGTTTAATTTTTTCCACTGTTGATATTTTGATGCGAATTATCAATTTTAGGACTTAGTTTTGTCCAAAGTGATGTGCATGTCATGTAAATAATTCTGCGCAATGATTCATTGACATGATTTGGGTTTGACTCAGGTTGGCATAAATGTTCCTATTTCGCTTCTGCCGCCCTTTTCCTCCTTTACTAGCTCCAAACCATGTTTTGCCGGTGATCACAATTTTGATGGTATATTTGTTCCTTCTGTTGCTGCTTGATTTTACTTGTTTACCAAGCATTTCCGTAACATTTGTCAAATAAATATAAAATTTCTGAAGTTGGAAAATTCTATTGCAGGCAAGGCTGGAATTCAGTTTTACACCCACACTAAAACAGTGACTCAACAATGGAAGGATTTACTAAGCAATGACTTATCATGTATGCAAATGCCAAGTTCAAATAGTGATGGAGAATCTCAGCAACTTACAAGTTCATAGAGGTCATAATAAGTAGACATGATTAAATCATAATTATCCCTCTCAACGATTAGTTGACTTGACTTCATATCGATGTAGGATGGAATGTGTTAGTGTTAATTATATTATACAGTCAGTCTACCACATTTTCTTGTTAATATATAGGAAATTACATGCATGTTTGAAATGAAAATTGTTTCTCTCTCTGTGGGAAAAATTGCTAATGCCATAGTCAAAAGCTTGAAATCAGAGCTTCTATATCTATTTATTTACAATTGAAAGGATTATATTTATGCTTCTTAATTCATATTTGCTTTAAGAGGATGAATTTTGTGTAATAATCAATTTAAATTTGATAATTATTAAGAAAGCCCTAGGTTTAGACACTAAGGAGTTCATTAATAACCAACTCGGGTGAAACCAGCCAATGTTGTTGGGTCTTAGGTTGACCGTTTTAACGAATTTGACCGGCTAGTCAAACTGAGTGTCAAAAAATTTAAAATGTAGCAAATACGCCACTAAAAATTATAGTTAAGTCCCAATAGGTTTGAAATTTAGCAAACATACTCTAAATGCAAATTGGTGGTTGATTGGTTGCTGATGACACACCAAATGTAATTCCAATCATACCTTGAGCCAATTTCCCGGAAAATATACCCTAAATCTGGTCAAAATTAGCTCGATTTTGACTAGATTTCACCACCATTGATGATTGATGTCAACAACCTTCCCTCATCATCACGAAAATACTTCTCTTAGTCTTCTGACCAAAACCCATCTCACCTCATCCTTATTCAGCTCGCTAATCGTCAACAAAAGCTAGTTGTTGTTCTCACCAGTTTTCTTTGATTTTTGGTCGATTCACTCCTTGGAAATCACCTCCGTCGGCACCATTAAAATCAAAGACCCTTCATCTTCAAAAGCCCCAACATCTCAGTCTTTAGTTGTTCGTCAATCATCATCTCAATTTTTAGGGTTTTTGATGAATAGGAAAATGGGTAACCCGGCTTGATGAAGCCCTCGGGTCTCGGTTAAATTGGTTCAACCAACCAGGTTTTAAAACACTGGTTAAGATTACCATATGTTTTGTTTTGTTAATTCACTAGAGAAGGCAATACGCAATGCTATGTTTCTTAGCTAGAACGAGTTTCAGTTTTAAACAAAAGAACATATGATTCAATTACATCTCTAAATTATTATTAAATTAGGATGTCGGTGAACCTTTCTCAAAAAATTATGAGAATCATGAACAAAGCTCAGGAGTACTCAAGATGTAATAATAATAAACACAATCGATGACAAGAATTCACTCGATTTGTTTAAAGAAGAAGAGAAAAATAAGTTGGGTTAGAAAGACAGAAAAGCCCTAGCTAATAAGTAAGATTCCAATATCATCCTCTTCGTTTGTTTCCCTATTTTCCCACTATCCTATCCTATTATCCAATCCAATCCTATCAAAATGCGTATTTGTTTTAGTATTTAAAATCCAATCATATTCTATTCAACTCAAAACATTAACAATTACCTTTCTCAATAAAATTTTTAAAATTAACAAAAACACCTCCATCCACCCAAGCCACTATCACCTGCCAGATGCCACCATCATAGCGACGCATGACCAGCTAGATTTGGTTGATCGTGTGCCGATCTGTCTGTTTTCGGCCTGATCCACTATAGACCTAACCAGAAACGGCCAAATCTACTACCAAAGATTTGGCCGTTGACAATGGTCAGATATCCGGGCCGTCGATAACGGCCAAGTTATGGCCAAATCTGGCAGTCAACGGCCAGATTTGTGGCTATAGATCTGGTTATTTTTTGCCAGATCCATAATAGATTTGTTTGAAAAAGGCTAGATCAGTGCATGACTAGCCAAATCCATTCGATCATGCGTCGTCTCAATGATTTTTGGCCACCATTCGACGGTGGTGGCCGATTACCGACAATAATTAGGTGGGTGGGGGTGTTTTTGTTAATTTATAAACGTTTATTGTGGATAATTAAATTAACAAACCTAGGAGGTTAAAAATAATCTAAATATTTTCAGAAAATATTTTAAAAAAATATACCAAAAATAATCTTATCATATTTTCCAAAAATGCTATTATAAAAATCTAACCAAACAATGCTGATCACTCTTGTCATTTTTTAATCGTTGAAGGGTAAACTCATTACAAAATAGGATTAATGTTGTCTTATAAATGAAATATAAGTCAACTTTGTTACTAAGGGTATCTTAGTGCATAAAAATCATTGTTCTCTCTAAATGTATTTTGATGTTAACTCGTTAATTAATGACTCGCCTTAATGAAACGTCAACCGTTTTGGATCGGAAAAATAGATTATGACATTAATCAGTTATGTAGGAACATAGTCTTTATCTCAGGTCATTATCTTGAATAAATAAAGATAGAATTTACATACAAGATATATTGATCTTCCATAAAATACTGAAAATATTTTCCCTATAAATTTATAGAATTTATTAAAACTTTTTGATATTGTGAAAATATTTTAATAAATTTGTAATTTTTTCATTTCTCCTTAAAAAGCGGTGTCAGTAGGCTGTTACATATAGCAATAATAATAACTGACTTTGCCGCCAACAAAAACAGAATATTGACTTGTTTTGACTCCATCGTCTCCTTCAACAATTCAATTCCCACACTCAAAAGTTTCCAAGAAAAACACTTTCCCGAGGCAAAAATGATTCCTAGTTTCCAAACAATCAGCCAAAGCCTCCCTCCACGCTTAAGGCCAACCTTCTTTTTAGGAGTACCAGTCTTCTCCTTGATCTATCTACTACTATATTTTCTATCTGGCAACTCCAAATCTCCTCAGGTTCTTACAATTCTTTCCTTTCTTTCCATTTGGTTAACTCTGTTCAGGATTCTCCTAATTTTCTCATTTTCTTGAGCTTCTTTGCATTTTCTTTTTCTCACATTATATTTCTTTGTGTTGGTTTACGAAGCTTGGCTGGTGTAAAAGTTCTGACATTTACGGGGAAATCTTTCACTCACCGGAGGCTTTTAAGCTGGACTATGAGCAAATGGAGAGGGAATTTAAGGTTTTTGTGTACCCAGATGGGGATCCAAATACATATTACCAGACACCAAGAAAACTTTCTGGGAAGTATGCAAGTGAAGGGTATTTCTTTCAGAATATCCGAGAAAGTCAATTCTTGACGAATGATCCCAACAGTGCTAATCTCTTCTTTATCCCCATTTCTTGTCACAAAATGAGAGGCAAGGTATGATTGGTTATGGTTTTCATTGTCTCTTTATTAAGTACAGAGTTATGAATTACTGAAATTCTATTAATTAAGATCCTTCAAAGTTTAGTTTTAGTTTCAAGATTGTCAAAATGTCAATTAGGCCAGGGCTTATCTTGAATATTTGATAAGGCAGAAAATAGAAGCATACGGAGTCTTGTACTTTAATAAGAAATATCATTTTCACCATTGAGGTTGGTGTGATGCTAGTTTACAAGAGACATATCTCACATTGCTAACAAAGTCAGGGCTAGATTATTAGTCTTGAATTCTCTCAATCAAGTAAATAAGTGCTCGTGCAAAGCCAGAAACAGAAATCGTGAAGGCGGAAGATGAGTGTTTTGAGGCTTAAATGGATAATAGTATCTAGTGAATAGAATTTAATGTTCATAGCTAATCCCTTTGGTAGAGTAGAAGGCTTACATACTATTTTGGTGCCTTTTTATATAGCTGTACATCCCTTTTTAGGTAACACAATATAGAATGGTGTCTTGGAATTCTGAATTAGGAATTAGGGATCATTGAGGTTGCAATACTGAACTTTTGACAGACTAAAGTTGCATACTGCTCTGTTTCTTGTTCCTATTTACTCGTATTATTTTGATTTAATTGGCCTTGCAGATTACATATTTCCTTTCTCTATTTATTGTTCTTCATGCAGGGAGTTTCCTCTGGAAACATGACTACCATTGTGACAGAGTATGTGGAGAGCTTAATTTCCAAGTACCCATTTTGGAACAGAACTCAAGGAGCTGATCACTTTTTTGTCACTTGCCATGACATTGGCGTCAAGGCCACTGAAGGACTACCCCAACTCATTAAGAATTCAATTCGAGTTGTGTGTTCATCACAATATGATTCTGGGTATATTCCACACAAGGATGTTTCCCTCCCTCAAATTCTGCAGCCATTTGCTCTTCAGGATTCTAACATTGGCTTAAAGGATAGGTAAATTTCATGCAAAATAAAGTTAAATCCTTGCTTACTGGCGATTACATGCTTGGTAAATTGAATGACAAAACTTTGATTATTGGCAATTTGTTGAACCAGTATGGTCGTGATATGGCAACAAATTGTTTATATTTCAAACTATATTTGGTCTTAGCATTCTTTAATTAGTATGTGATAGTGGAATCTGTATATTGAAAGAAATTACACATATTGCAGGAGTATCCTTGCTTTTTGGGCAGGTTATCGCAATTCAAAAGTGAGAAAACAACTAGTGCACAAATGGCAGAATGACAAAGAACTTGACATCCAGAACAATCACATTGATAAAAAGAATGCCATTATGGTGTACCGAACCAAGATCTATAGGAGTAAATTTTGCATCTGTCCACGTGGTTCCCAAGTCAATAGCGTTCGCATTGCTGATTCGATCCATTATGGATGTGTTCCTGGTATGAAATTCATACTCTTGCACAAGAACAGTTTTGCAGGCACACTTCATTGTTTCTAATTTCTTGAAAGCAAACATCTGAAAAAATAATTGCTGTGCTGAGCACTTAATAGTGTGTTTCTGCAGTTATCTTGTCGGACAACTACGATTTGCCATTCAATGACATTCTTGATTGGAATAAATTTTCTTTGATTCTTAAGGAGGATGATGTTCCTCGGCTGAAGAAGCTTCTTAAAGGCTTATCAAATACACAACAATTCATTAAGTTGCATGAAAACACAGTCAAGGTAAGTAAAATTAAGAAAACTTTTTTATCATATTCATATGTACCTTAATTTCAAAAGCAATGATATGCTTCAATGAGTAAAAATTATTTTTCTTCAGATTAATCAAATATGATGTATCAACTATTATATTGTCTAAGACTATTTGGAACCTTCTGAACGCCAGAGAAGCAGTGCATGTGAAAATCCTTTCTGTAACATATTTTTCTTACAATTAATACTTTGTTTCTATGAATCAGGCTCGGAAGCACTTCCAGTGGAATACACCTCCAATCAAGTATGATGCATTTCATATGGTCATGTATGACCTTTGGTTATGCCGCCATGCTGTTAAGTACCAAATTTTCTGAAACATTTTCTTGAACAAATAAAAGTACCTACCATCATTTTATTGATTCATTTCAAAATCATATTATTATATAAACAGAAAATCTCAAGTAAGAAGGTCTGTATTTTTAATCAAGCAAGACTAATTGACTCTTAAATATTAGATCAATTCAAATTTGCCCGCTCTTAAACCAGGAATTCCCTTTTAAGCGAAACAATCCAATCAATTTTAAGAACCTTGAAGCCGTCATCATCAAACTTCTGCTAATTTCTCAAAATTTCAAAATACCCATACCCAGAGCTCCACAGTAACGTGTCTTCCTCGAAGCAAATTGATGTTCAATGAGCTGAAACCACACCCCAATGACCCCAATCCCTTACTCCGCCAATTTTCGCTAGATATCGAAGACGGATAGTTCCGGCCAATACCCAATTCGAGGAAGAATAGAGGAGGGGTTTGGCTCTATACCATACGAGCAAATGTGGTTTAGCTTCTGCACTTGTTTGTTTCGTTCTTCATTTTTCAATCTTCTTCTTTCGCTATGTTCTTATAGTCTAAGGTCAGCTCTTCTTCTACTTAACTTTAGCTTGTTTTTGATTAATCATCAGAAATCTTACAGAATGTTAAACTTCTTTCTGACCCTAAATTTGGTAAGCACACTCAATTGTTTTGGGTGCCTCTTCGCTTGGAGTTAGAGCATAATTATTATTGCTCTTGATATTCTCATATCGGTATTATTTCATGATTTTCTTGAACTACATTATTTACATTTGTTGGTGTATGTAGAAATTTTTTGTTGTGTTTGATTTGGAGTGCTGTATGTTAAAGAGTTTGATGAAGCTACATCAGAAATAAATAAAAAAGAGACCTTCAAATAATATATTTTAACGAAAGTTGAAATTTGGAGCAAGAGCAACACCATTCATGACCTTCTAAAATAGTATTGGGTGCGATTGTTTTGTTATTTTGGATATGATTTTGAGAATAATATTGGGTAGTTAAATATAGTGAGTATTACGAGGTAAAATTCAAAAATTAACAAAAAACCCTCATAGGTTTGCTAATTTAACTAAACACCCCAATATATAAAAATTTTATAAAATGACAAAAACATCCCCACCCACCAATAGTGCCAGATTCTGGCCACCACCGCTGGAATTTGGCAGAAAAATGGCGTTAATACTCAGACCGGTCGGATCTGGCCGGTCGTGCGTCGACATGACCTTTTCCGACCAGATCCACCACAGATCTAGACGGAAAAGTAGATCTGGCCGTCGATGGTCGCAAAAGGCCAGATTTGGCCTTCAACGACGACCAAAGGTATGACCGTTGTTGTCAGTTAACGACAACCATTTCTTTGGTCATTGCTGACGTCAGATCTAGTATTTTTCGGCCAAATCTACTATGAATCTGATCGGAAAAGGACAGATCGGTGAATTATCGGCCAGTTTCGATAGTTTCTATGTCGTTGTGACAGGTCGATGGTTGCCAGAATCTGGCAACTATGGGTGGGTGGGAGAGTTTTTGTTAATTTTTAAACTTTTTTTCTAAGGGTATTTAATTAAATTAATAAACTTAAAAGGTCTAAAAGTAATTAAAAAAATAAAATAGTATTTCTCAAATAATTAAACAAACAAGTATTTTGGGAATAGAATAAAGAATAGGGTATGAAATATTAAAACAAATGCACCCGTTATTTCTTCTAGTCAACATATAGTATTATTTCTTCTAAGATAGTATTATCATCCAAAATACATCTATCTATAAACTAATAATATTTGGTTTCTTTTTTCTTTTGTAACATTAAGTTTTATAATGTAGAACAGGGTCTTTTGTAATGCATTTGCGATGATTTCAAATGCATCAAGAACATCTCATGTGCTTCCGACTCCAACATCTATAAGAACTCCAAACCCTCTCAAATTTTGTCAATAAAAATTATTTATTTAATTAGACGACTTATTTCCTTATTTCTTCCATTTGGCCAAGAACGACTTATTAATTAAGCTCTTAAGCTCTGCTTCTTCTTGAAAGTGAGATCACTTGCTCTGAAATTGTGGGTTTCTTTTTAATTTCTCTTATTATTCTCAACTCAAGTAAGTCTCTGTTCCCCCTTGTTTCTTCTTTAAATTTTTATACACTTTCTCATTTATTTCAAGTTTATGTTATCTGCTCTTGTTTAATATAATTGGTCCTTTAGGGTTATTCAAATTTTTATCTTAGTTTCTAGGGTTTCTTTCACCTTTTTTCAGTCATCCTTAAGGGTTTCTTGACTTGGGTCATTCTAGGATTGTAATGGTCACCCCTTAATTAGGGCTTTCAAAACCCTATGTAATTTGTGTTGAAGTGAAGACTGAAAAACGATGCCACTTTAATATTAAATGAAACGCAGAGTTTTTGGCTTGAATTTATCTATGTATCCTGTCCATCCAAGCTGTGTAGATCCAACGGCTGAAGACATGTCAAAAAGTCAGCAGTATAAAAGAGGGGAATCGTTCATTGTACATTAGATCTGATTTTTGCGTTTTTCTACAGTTCGTTCTTCAGTTCTTGATTGATTTTTCTGCACTTTTTAGAATCATTGTAACTAGGTAGATTGATTAGCGATTGTTAGTTAATCTTGTGGCTTGAGGATTCTAGGTGAGAGTTCTTGGGTGAGTTACAGGTTGATTCTTGGGTAGAAATAGAGAGGATTTGATCTGGTTGTGTTGGATCTTGTAGTGTATTGATATTATTCAGATTAGTAGTGCTGTGAGCTCTCCATTTCCGGAGCTCAACATGGACGTAGATTATCCAAATAGGATAATCGAACCACGGTAAAAATCTTGCGTTTCTTGTGTGGATGTTTGTGTAATCTGTGTGGAGTTGAAATCTGGTTTATGTTTGTGTTTGTTGGCTCAGTATAACAGTGGTATCAGAGCTATTAGACAATAGGCTTGATCGATTTGGAGACTGTTCGGTGATTTAGGGTTTCTGAAAAATTAGGGTTTGTCTAAAATTTGGGGGTTTTTCAAATTAAGGCTTCCGTTAGCAATCTTGAGTTCTAGTTTACAGATTCAAGTGGTAAATTCACTGATTGAGGAAATCTTGGTGAAGATTCAGGTTTGAGTTTTAGTAATTCGTTCAAGATTTACATTGTTAGTTCGGTCTAGGGTTTCTTGAGTCAGTATCAAATTGTTCAAACACAAAAATGTCAACTACACGATTAGAAATCACTCAGTATGATGGCAAGATAGATTTCGGGAGTTGGAAAAAGAAAATGAAGGCACTACTATCCCACAACAAGGTAGGAATTGCCCTGGAGAAAGACGAAACCAAATGGCTAGAAGAGAAGCTGAAGAAGAAGGATGAAATCAATGAGGAAGCGTACAACCTCATAGTGATGAATCTGTCAGACAACGTCTTGCGGAAGGTAGATGGGCTAGAAACACCTTTAGCCCTATGGGGTAAACTCGAAACTTTATATTCTTTACAGTCAACACCTAACCTTGCATTTTTAAAGGGTGCTTTAGTTTCGTACAAAATGGATGGTTCTAAATCTGTTGAGGATAATTTAGATGAATTCCTTAAGATGACTTTAATTCTTAAAGGTACTGATCAAGAACTAGGTGACACTAGTTTAGCAATGATCTTATTAAATTCCTTAACTGAAGACTACATAGTTGTAAAGAATGCCCTTCAGTATTCAGGGATCGTACCTAGTCTGGATTTAATAGTTGCTGGTCTTAAAGCTAGGGAATTAGAGCTTAACGTCCAGAAAAGATCTGGGAGTAACCTGTTTGTAAAGGGTAGGGCAGAATCTAGTCAAACAGGAAAATCTATTCAGAACCAGCATGGGTCTTAAAACAAGAAAAAATGGAAGGGAAACAGTAATAAAAAATCAGACACTAGGAAGTGCTTCTTTTGCAATAAGCCTGGTCATATCAAGAAAAACTGTTTTGAATGGTTGAAGAAACATAAACAGAGTAATACTGAGAGTAATCTTGCTTCTAGTGATAACCAATGGGGGGAGCCTGAGGTCTTGACAGTATCAACATCTGATACTGCTAAGGAATGGGTCCTGGACTCAAGCTGTTCCTTCCATATGAGTCCACACAAAAACTGGTTCCAGAACCTAGAATCTCAAGAAACTGAAACTGTTTATATGGGGAATAACCAAGCATGTAGGGTGAAGGGTATAGGCAGTATAACCCTTAAGCTTACTAATGGAAAAATTGTAAAGTTGACTAATGTTAGGTATATCCATGAATTAAAAAGGAATCTTATTTCTTCAGGAACTTTTGATGAGGCTGGGTGTTCCTATGAGGCTAACAATGGTTGTTTATATGTGTACAAAAACCAGAACTTGATTCTCAAAGGGGAAAAGAGGAATAGCCTTTACATTTTATGTTGTGATTCTGACCTAGAATGCTGTAGCACAGTTCTGTCACCCACCAAACTTACTGCAACTGAAAAATGGCACCTTAGGTTAGGACACATGAGTCAGAAAGGTTTGCACATCCTTAGCAGTCAGGGAGGGTTTAGGAAAGACACCATTGCAACCTAGAATTCTGTGAAACCTGTGTGTTAGGAAAACAACACAGACTACGGTTTTCAAAAGGGACTCACCTAGCCACGGACTGCCTAGAGTACTTACACTATGACCTCTGGAGACCTGAAAAAATTAAATCCCATGGTGGGAATAACTATTTCTTATCCATTGTAGATGACCACAGCAGAAAGGTCTGGACCTTCCTCTTAAAGACCAAAGATCAGGCTTTGACCAAGTTTAGGGATTGGAAAACACTAGTAGAAAACCAACCAGGAAAGAAAGTTAAGGCACTTCGCACAGACAATGGTCTGGAATTCTGCAATTCTGAATTTGACAACTTCTGTAAAGAACATGGTATTTTGAGACATAGAACTGTACCTAGGACACCCCAACAGAATGGTGTGGCAGAAAGGATGAACCGTACCTTACTAGAAAAGGTTAGGTGTCTCTTGTTTACTTCAAGGTTACCAAACACTTTTTGGGGGGAAGCC